AAAAGAATAAGGCTAAAATTCCAATGTTAGAAAGAATAGGGCCGGAATTCCAATGTTAGAAAGGGTAGGGCCGGAATTCCAATGTTAGAAAGGATAGGGCCGGAATTCAAAAGTTTAAAAGAATAAGGCTAAAATTCCAATGCTAGAAAGGATAGGGCCTGAATTGCAATGTTAGAAAGAATAGGGCCTGAAGTCCAATATTAGAAAGGATAGGGCCTGAATTCCAATGTTTAAAAGGATAAGGCAGGAATTCCAATGTTACTAAGGATAGGGCCGGAATTCCAATATTTGAAAGGACAGGGCCGGAATTCCAATGTTAAAAGAATAAGGCTAAAATTCCAATGTTAGAAAGAATAGGGCCGGAATTCCAATGTTAGAAAGGGTAGGGCCGGAATTCCAATGTTAGAAAGGATAGGGCCGGAATTCAAAAGTTTAAAAGAATAAGGCTAAAATTCCAATGCTAGAAAGGATAGGGCCTGAATTGCAATGTTAGAAAGAATAGGGCCTGAAGTCCAATATTAGAAAGGATAGGGCCTGAATTCCAATGTTTAAAAGGATAAGGCAGGAATTCCAATGTTACTAAGGATAGGGCCGGAATTCCAATATTTGAAAGGACAGGGCCGGAATTCCAATGTTAAAAAGAATAAGGCTAAAATTCCAATGTTAGAAAGGATAGGGCCGGAATTCCAATGTTTAAAAGAATAGGGCCGGAATTCCAATGTTAGAAAGGGTAGGGCCGGAATTCCAATATTTGAAAGAGTAGGGCCGAAATTCCAATGTTTAAAAGAATAAGGCTAAAATTCCAATGCTAGAAAAGACAGGGCCGGAAATCCAGTTATTGAAAGGATAGGACTGGAATTCCAATGTTAGAAGGGATAGGGCCTAAATTCCAATGTTTAAAAGAATGGGAGAGGAATTCCACTGTTAGAAAGGATAGGGCCTGAATTCCAATGTTTAAAAGAATAAGGCTTAAACTCCAATGTTAGAAAGGATAGGGCAGAAACTCCAGTGTTAGAAAGGATGGGGCCGGAATTCCAATGTTTAAAAGGATAGGGCCGGAATTCCAATGTTTAAAAGGATAGGGCGGTAATTCCAATGTTTGAAAGGATAGGGCCGGAATTCCAATATTTAAAAGGATAGGGCCGGAATTTCCAGTGTTAGAAAGGATAGGGCCAGAATTCCAATGTTTGAAAGAATAGGGCCTGAATTCCAGTGTTTAAAAGAATAAGGCGAAAATTCCAAAGTTTGAAAGGATAGGGGCGGAATTCCAATTTTTAAAAGGATAGGACCGGAATTCCAATGTTACAAGGGATAGGGCCTGAATTCCAATGTTTAAAAGGATAGGGCCTGAATTCCAATGTTTGAAAGGATAGGGCCGGAATTCCAATATTTAAAAGGATAGGGTCGGAATTCCAATGTTAGAAAGGATAGGGCCTGAATTCCAATGTTTAAAGGAATAAGGCTAAAATTCCATTGTTAGAAAGGATAGGGTGGGAATTCCAAAATTTAACAGGCCAGGGCCGGATTTCCAATGTTTGAAAGGATAGGGCCGGAATTCCAATGTTTGAAAGGATAGGGCCGGAATTCCAATGTTTGAAAGGATAGGACAGGAATTCTAATGTTAGAAAGGATAGGGCCGAAATTCCAATTTTTAAAAGGATAGGACCGGAATTCCAATGTTACAAGGGATAGGGCCTGAATTCCAATGTTTAAAAGGATAGGGCCTGAATTCCAATGTTTGAAAGGATAGGGCCGGACTTCCAGTGTTAGAAAGGATAGGGCCGGAATTCCAATGTTAGAAAGGATAGGGCCGGAATTCCAATGTTTGAAAGGATAGGGCCGGAATTCCAATGTTTGAAAGGATAGGACAGGAATTCTAATGTTAGAAAGGATAGGGCCGGAATTGCAATGTTTAAAAGGATAGGGCCGGAATTGCAATGTTTAAAAGGATAGGGCTAGAACTTCAATGTTTGAAAGGATAGGGTCGGTATACCAATGTTTTAAAGGATGGGGCCGGAATTCAAATGTTAGAAAGGATAAGGCCGCAATTCCAATGAGTGAAAGGGCAGTGCCGGAATAACAATGTTTGCAAAAGTAGGGCCAGAATTCCAGTATTTGAAAGGATAGGGCCGAAATTCCGATGTTTGAAAGGAAAGGGCCGTAACACCAATGTTTGAAAGAGGATAGTGGTGGAATACCAATGTTTGAAAGGATAGGGCCGAAATTCCAGTGTTTATAAAATAGGGCCAGAATTCCAATGTTGGAAAGGATAGGGCCAGATTTCCAATGTTCAAAAGGATGGGCGGGAATTCCAACGTTTGAAAGGATAAGGCCGGAATTTTCCAATGTTCGAAAGGACAGCGCGGGAATTCTGATGTTCAAAAGGATAGGGCAGGAATTCCAATGTTTGTAAAAATAGGGGAAGAATTCCAATGTTCCAAGAATTCAAACCACATCTGAGCGATGCGGCAGGGATGTGCACTTTACATGGCCTGGACTGAAAGCATCCTGAGACTCATAACAGTTCGGGTAATCAAGATGTAAGACAATTACCGCTTGGCCAAGAATTGGGTGGTCAGCGCATAGAATTACATCCCCACTACCCAATGGTGTGAATGAAAAGATTCATGAGCTGGAGTGAAAAGCTGAAATCACCCTTAAATGGACAGTGCCGTAATGATGTGGTATGTTTTGCTTGCCGCGAACCTGGCAATCTCACTTCAAACTGTCCACACAAACAAAGAGGAAACATAGCTCTGGGCCTTCCGAAGGGCCAGGCAGTTCCTTTCATTCTTGAAGCAGTTGCTCAAGCATCAGCAATCGCCAATAATGAGGTAACCAACCCTGCTTTTGTTAATACAATACTTTCAGCAACATCAGACTCTCGAATCTATTGCATAGGAATTGTGAATCATAGTGTGAATTGTATATTGCTAGACACCAGTGCAACTGGTAGTGTCTTGAATGAGGGAACATAAAGGAAAAGTGGATTTGAATCAAAACTCATGAAAGTAACCGGGACTCTAACTACAGTAAATGGAAACGAATTAACACTTCTGAAAGAAACGGAAGTTAGCTTTCCTTTAGAAGTATTCATTGTTTGTACAGGGCCAATCCCACGACCTCATACTTGGCTCAGAATTTTTTTTAGCACATTAAATTTCAGACTCATTATCACACCGGAACTTCCAATCAGATCTTGCAAGGTTACCCCTGGTGTTTGTAGAAATTTCCTGTGTAATGATATTCTAGTGGAAGCCGCAACTGAACAAATAATAGAGGCCAAATTGGAGAATGGATTTGAGCATAATACTGGTACTTCGGGGATCTTAAGGGACAAAAGGGAACTGAGAGGCAAATCTGAAATCAACTTAGCCCGTACCTTAGTAATTCCAAGAGATGGACTAACTCTAGTTCGAGTTGCTAACTTCTCAAACAGGCCCTTGAGACTACAGGCAGATGTTCCTTTTGCCGATATAATCCTTTCAGTAGTGAGGTGGCCGTTTGTTTCATTGGAACCAAAGCCAGATTCTACCCGTTTCTCTCACTCATCTTGTTCAGTTAAAAACAACCCAATGGCCAAAGGGGAGAAGCCAAAGGAGGACGAAAAGGAGAAGTCAGATTCCCAGGTGAAATAAGAGGATAGGCCTAAGACTACCTTCTCAACTCAGAACGTTCAATTCCAGAGGAGAGTTATGCCTTTTGGATCGACAAACAGACCCGCTAGCTTCATTTGTTTTATTAATTTTCTTTTATTTGGTGCTCATTGGCCTTAACTGGACACACTGTCTAGTATATTTCGATGATATCATCATCAGGGCGCCCATCTTTGAAGACCACATCCACTGCCTGCGGTTAGTGTTTGATCATACAAGGACTGCTGGTTTTGAAACTGAAGCCTACCAAGTGTCACTTCCTTAGAAGAAAACTTACTTTCCTCAAAATGTTGTGTCATGTGACAGAATAAAGACTGATCCTGTGTAAGTCAAAGCCAACAAAACATGGTCAGTACTACTGAATGTGAAGAGCTTCAAAGCTTCCTTGGCCTTGCTGCCTATAACAGACAGTTCATCATTGGATTTTCCTTTATTGCTGAGCGCCTTTTCAATCTGTGTACAAAAAATGTACTGTTTTGTTGGTAACAGGGACAACGAACTGCATTTAAGAAGTTGAAAGATCACCTGGTAAGAACGCCAGGACAGGCTTATCCTAATTTCAGTCCTGCAGTACCTCTCTCAGCTCGGCTGAGGCGGTCATGGGGGTTCCCAGTGGTGCCAACAGTCGACCTCCATGTGCTTCCAAGCTTTGCGGTCCTGTGCCAAAGTATGAATTTCGTGAGGAAGGGGGGGTTTTTGGGATTGATTAGTTTTGCAGCATATTTGTGAATAGAATTTTATGTCCACCAGGTCTTGGTTTACCATGTGTCGGGTGGTACAGAGCGTAATTAGAAATAAGGTCCTCCTGAGGGCGCTGAAGACAATGGCCCAGGAATCTGATCTGTCAGGCTTTAACTGATTAGGAAAGGGGGACTGTTCCAGTTCTATCATAGACTTCCTCGTTGCTAACATGATCAGTACGAGAAACGCCAAGTATGATTCTAAGGCAAGATGTTTGGAAGGAATCAAGTTGACAACAAAGGTCGGATGTTAGGACCCAAGACTCACCCCCAAAAAGGACAATTAAAGCTGACGCTTTGAAAAGTTGAACCTTTTGTTAGAATGATGAAAGACACTTCCAAGCATGAGCCAATTTCCAAAACGCACTCAATGCTTTTCCTTTCCGGCACTTGATGTCTTTCCGGCTCGACGCAAATTCTTGATATCTTCTCCTTCGAGCTGAAGACTCGAGTGTGGAATATTACAAGTAATAACTTTGGTCTTTGTAGTGATAATGTATAGACCAACTTCTTTGGCCATCAGGCAGAGCAAGTCCAATTGACTTTGGGCTTTTTCAAAGGATGAAGCCTATTTTTTTAATTGTCCCATTTGTGGAGCACCCAGTCAAAAACAGTGACAAATAGGAAGGGAGCTTGGGTGTCTCCTTGCAGGACAATTTTTTTCGCCTGACATTTCACCGTCAACAAGAACTGCTGACTTGGTACCAGAGTATAGAGACCAAGATTTCTTTACATTGTCTGGGACCCCATAATAGCGGAGAATAGGAAACATGACCAGTCTGGCGATGCTGTCAAAGGCCTTGGAAAAATCAACGAAGGTACCAAGGAATGGGAGGTTCTGATCTCTGACTCCTTCAAGTATTCAGTGTAATAAGTCCATTTGCTCGACACAGCCGCAATCGCTACAAAATCCACCTTGGTTAACACGCAGGATTTTCTCAAGTGGGTCTCGAACGCAATTCAGTAAAAGCCCATTGTAAACTTTAGATGTCATTGACATGAGTGTAATGCCGCGGTAATATGACATATTAGTTGGATCACCTTTCTTTGCAAGAGGAGCACAGATGAAAGTTTTCTACTCATTGGGAATGAGTGGAGGAGAGTACTAAGCTGCCGAGCAGTCTTTCGCCACCATACTTAATGGCTTCAGCACACATAACAGAGTCAATTCCGGGAGCTTTTGAGTCCATGAGGCTTTGGATTACCACTTGACCTTCTGTACGAGTGTAGTCCCCAGTTTTGATTGGAAGATCTATTTCCATTGGGGGAATGTCCACAGTTGAAGAAACAGGAGGTGTGTTGAGGAGTTTCGCAAAGTACTTCCTCCATTCTCCCATTAGGTCTTGCTTTGAGTTGAGGTTTGGTAGAGGGTCCTTGGAAGCTGGGTTGAATCTCACCAACAATTTTTCACATCCCTTTGGGAGCATTCTGTCGGTCTGCTAATTCAAGTTCCAAGATCTGTCTGGCAAGATAATTACGGTCGTCCTACTCAGAGGCTCCTCAGACCTCATGACAGATCACCACCATCGTTGTCTTCAGTGAGCAGTGCATTTCTGTGGGTATCGACGCTTGGCCGCATTGCATTGGTGGACAAGGTCCTCTAATCTGGCAGATACCCCATGGTGAGTAGAGCGTTTAGGAGGCTCGCGAACAACTTCCTCAGCAGCGTTTTGAACAGTTGAAACAATGCCCGAGTAAAGAACTTGAGCGTCATCGTCAGGAAGAGAGAGGGCATCAAAGCAATGAGAAATTGCTAAAGCGAAGACGGCTTGTCGTCCTGGGGTCTGGGTCATGCATGATGACAACGGAGTGAGGTTGCCCCTTGGAGACTTTGTGGAGGTCATTGAAGAAGGCTGCTTTGTCACTATCGTTGGCAACATTCGAAGGAGCATAGATGACATACACAACTATGAGTGGGTTTCCCTTGAAGTAAACTTTCAGAATTTGTTCCGAGACTTTCTCAGCAGCCATGTATGAGTTTGCGAACTTTTTGCAAATCAGTAACCCAACACCACCGACCTGAGGTTGGAAGGCAGAAGAATAGATGAACACAAACTCGTACTCGTCATTCCAGTATTGTGAAAGTGTTTCCTTTGTAATCCATTGGTGTATTGGTGTTCTTGGATGCCTATGATACCTAAGGGCTAGTTCTGGGCCCCACATAACAGTTGATCTAGCTTTCCGGTTTGATAGAAATTCCGAACATTAAACATGGAGAAATGCATTCTGTGGAGTTGCACGTGGACAGGCTGTGAATTGCTCACAACCCGGGGGTTCCTCGGACTGTAGAACCATTGGATGGTTGGAACAGAGGTTCCACAAACGTCATCAAGTTTGCAGGACGTTGCTGCAACCCATGGTCAGCAGAAAACATACTTGGAGTCACTTTAGAGGTTGTTGAAACTAGGATTTTAATGATGAAGAGGAGGTTAACTTTCAGCATCAAGGAAGGAACCGCCAATATCTAGGAATGAGGGCAGATTTGTTGCAGTGGTATATCAGATATGAAGGGAAGTGGACTAGCAGATGTTCAAAATGGCGAGACAAGCCGGCAGGAGAGAACAGAAGACAAACACGAGTCCGAAGACCAACCAACTACAGAACAGTATAGTTAAATCCTCCAGTCAGTAATCATGTTACCAAGGAGTTGCATCGGCTACTATCTGGTCAACGAATGCAGCAAGACTATCATTATCTTGCATAGACCTCTTTGTCTCTTCAGTAGAAAGATTTAATAGTTAAGCGACATTTATCTAAGGGTCATGTTGGTATGGACGCTTCAACTTTGCAAGCATGGGACCATTTGAAATAAAGGAGCAGGTCATGGACATCACGTATCCAGTAAAGTCAGGGCACATTCCAGGCGATCTCAAGTAGTTCATTTGAACAACCTACAGGCGTACCAGGGAAGGCAGGAAGAAAGCACGTGGGAACCGAGCTGCTGGGGGTCAGTGAATGCTCCTCATGGTGAGGGTAAGGACCAGCAATCGGTACAACCAGGGTCGAGTAAGGTGGAGCCAATGGAGTCTGGTAAGGTCATAAGCGGAGCAAAAAAAAATTGTTGACGTTGGGGCCAATGATGATCTTCCCAGTGAGGTTGTGAACATGCCGGGCAAGCATGAGTATCGGTCCTGCTTTGTTGATATCGTTCAAGTTGGAGAATTTGTACACCATGGTGAATGTGATCAGAGAGTAGATATATCGGATACGGAGGGAGGTGGACTTGCAGAAGACGTTCAAAACAGTGAGACAAGTGTGCAGGAGATAACAGAAGATGAACACGAGGAAGAAGTTAAACAGCCAATCTGCCAGAGCCAAAGTAGTGTCCACTCTTCCAGGGTACATACTCCTTTTGGGTTTACGTTTGGAAGAGAGATACGAATATTTCTCGATGTGATGATGGGACTGAAGGGAATGAGACTAACTACTCTGAATTTGTCAGCGATCTTCAAGATACGTTAGAAACTGCAAATAGGGATGTGAGGCAAAGTCTGTTAAGAAGCTCAGCATTGGCAGAAAGAAGTATCTGATAAGTGCCTGAGACCCATGGTGTTTCAAGCTGGAGAGGTCCTGGGGATGCTCCTGAAGGTAAGACCAAGGATCCTGAGTGGGTACTGCCAGCATCTGGTGAAGTGCAGTCAATGAAGCGTAGTACAGTGTTTAGTTGATCAGAAGAGGTTATCAAAATTGGGGCAAATGATGAGCTTCCCGACAAGGTTGCCAATGTGCCATGCAATAGTGAGTATTCGTCCTGCCCTGCTGATATAGCTCCAGTAGGAGAACTTGAACATGGTGGTGAATGTGATCTGGGAGTACATATATCGGATTCAGAGGGAGGTGAACTGGCAGAAGATTTTCAAAATGGTGAGACGAGCAGGGAGGAGACAAGACACGACAAACATGAGGCCAAAGGTGATTATCAGAGCATCAAAGGTAATTATCGAGGTTGGGGCCTATGATGAGCTTCCCAGCGCGCTTTTAACTTAACAGACGAGAGTGAATATCGGTGCTGCCTTGCTGATATGGTTCCAGCCGGATAACTCAAACGCGGTGGTGTATGTGATAAGGGAGTAAATACAGATCCAATAAGGAGGGAGGTGGACTTGCAGATGTTCAAAACAGAGAGACAAGCAGGGAGGAGGTAACAAAAGACGAACACAAGGCCATACAAGAACAGCCAACTGGTCAGAGCCAAAGTATTCAAGAGCCAACCCGAGTCGCTGGTGGAGGCCGTTTGTACTGTTCATCGATTAGAAAGTGCGCATAAAGCTTGTCAGGTGGTGGCATCTGTTGAGAAGAAAAAGTCTGTGAATGTTGCGAGTGCTTCAGCAGACAGTGAGAACATTTTGTCTGAGATTCCAGAGCTTGAGGAACTTGCTCTCTTTTTATATAGCAAGCAAAAGTGAACAATAGCCACCAAAGGAATCACAAATGCACTATGCAGTGATCCAAAAGGGCCAATCATAGTTCACAAGGGCTGACAATTTGAAGATACAACAATCAACAGCTACATAAATCAGGTTGCTAAAAGATGGTGATTATCACAGCTTTTAAATGACTGGGATTCTTATCCCAAAAATCAATGGCCAGTCGTTTCCATTTTGGTCTGTCGTTTTGAGTTCTATTTTTCTTGTAAGTAGCGCAAAGATTTGCAGGGTTGGGGCTGCTGGTCCATCACCCCGGGAAACACATCTGAGCGATGCGGCAGGGATGGGCGCTCTACATGGCCTGAACTGAAAACATCCTGAGACTCATAACAGTTCGGGTAATCAAGATGTAAGACAATTACCGCTTGGCCAAGGATTGGGTGGTCAGCGCATAGAATTGCATCCCCACTACCCAGTGGTGTGAATGAAAAGATTCATGGTGTGAATGAAAGGTGTCATAAGCTGGAATGAAAAGCTAAAACCACCCCCAAATTGGCAGGAATAGGATAGGCCTAACACTGCATTCTTAACTCATCAGGGACAATTCCAGTGGAGAGTAAGTCCTTTCTGATAGACTAATGGGATCTACTAGCTTCACTTGATTAATAATACTGGCCCCATTCCTGGACACACAGTCTGTTTTATTCGGATGATATCATCATCTGCACCGCTGAAGAACACAGAAAAGAAGTTACTTTTCTCGAAATGCTGTGTAATATGACAGAGTTAAGACTGATCAGCCGTACAAAACATAGCTAGTACCAGTAAATGTAAAAGAGCATCAAAGCTACCATGGTCTCGCTGGCTATAACAGATAGTTCATCATTGGATTTTGTTTTTTTTTGCTTTGTTTTGTTTTATCAACTTTATTGGTCTGAGTCTCTCTAAAGAAATAGTTACAACAATTTTCCATTATTGCCGAGCCCCTCTACATACTGTGTATGAAGAATGTTTCATTCTGTTGGCAACATGAACAACTAGCTGCATATGAGAAGCTGAAAGATCACCTGGTAAACGTGCCAGTGCTGGCTTATCCCGATTTCAGTCATGCAGCAGGATCTATCATACTTGATAAAAGATATTGATATATAGCAGAGAATTAGGTTGGAAAAACACGTGCATGTTTTCTGTAAAAGCTCAATGATGGGTCTTTCTTTAAACGTATGTTTTCGGCTACTTACAAGTAAATGAAAGCAGTTGGGTCCTTTGCTGTGCGATGTTTAGAATATTCCAATGTTTGGAAGGACAAGGCAGCATTCCAATGCTTGAAAGGATCAGGTCACAATTTTGGAAGGAAAAGGTCAGAATGCCAATATTTGAAAAGATAAGGTCACAATTCCAGTGTTTGGGAGATAAGGTCATAATTAAATTCATTGGAATTAATTAGAAGGATAAGGTCACAATTCCAAAGTTTGTCCAAGTGAAGATCAACATTCTAATGATTGTTTGGAAGGATGAGGCCTGAATTCCAGTGTTTGGAAGAATAATGTGACAATTCCAATGTTTGGAAGCATAAGGTCAGAATTCTAGTAATTGGAAGGATAAGATCTGAATTCTAATGGTGGAAAGATAAGCGCAGAATTCCAATTTTTGGAAGGATTACATACAGAATTCTAACATTTATGTTTGGAGAGATTTCATGCAGAATTAAATTTTTTGGACGACATTCAGAATTCAAATGGTTGAAGCGATACCATTTAGATTTCAAATGTTTGGAAGAATAACAATCGAAATTTAAATATTTGGAAGGATAATTTTCGGAATTTAAGTGCTTGGAAGGATGACATAAATTTGGAATGCAAATGTTTGAAAAGATGTCATTCTCAATTGTAAAGTTTGAAGGGATGAAATAAAGAAAACAAATGTTTGGAAGAGAGAATGATGTTCGGAATTTAAATGTTTGGAAGTATGACATTCCAATTTCAAATGTTTAAAATCATTTTGATATTTTATTAAGTACTAAGTCATTACCTGAATGGTAAACTGCATTTAACTTTGTT